CGGAGCAGCGGCAGCCCCATTCCCACCGTGCTGGGTCCCCATCTGAGCCCGTGTCTCCCCGCTGCCATCGAGCTCTCGGACGGGCCACCCGCCCGCGCGCTCCGTGCAGCGCTGGGGACCTCCGAGGCCCCACACGCGGGCTCCAAGCGCGTCCAGGCGCGCGCGCTCCGGAACGGACGCGGGAGGGAACATAGGGATTCTGGAGTCCCTGGGGCCCTGCGGACGCAGCCTGGCCCCAGGCAGGGGTGAGGAGCGCTTTGCTGGAGCAGCACAAGCTGCGATCGCTCCCCGGTAACTCCGAGGGCGGACGAGGTCTCCCGGCGGCTCTCGAAGCCCTGCAGCCGGCCACGTATCTGCAGGACTGCGGCTGCCGGTGTCCCCTCAGCCCCCTCGTTGTGGGGCTGCTTTGGGCTCCCCCCCCCAGCTGCAGAGGGCTGCACCTCTGCCCTCCTCGACCTCGTGTTGAGGCCGTCACTGCACTGACGATGGCGGCCCGGCTGCTGGGGGCCACCCTGCTCCTGCGCCTGCCCGGCGTCCTCCGCGCCTTCGCCATCGAGGAGAAGGACGACGTGTTCAAGCGAGGGGCCTGTCCCGCCTTCCTACTCTTCGAGAACGCCGCCTACTTGGCCGACATGACCTTCGAGCTCCCTTGCAACTGCAAGCCGGAGGAGGTCGCGTCGGTTGTCTGGTACTTCCAGAAGGACGAGGGCAGCCACCAAACCACGGTCCTGACGGACTTTGCTGGCACCATGGTGGTGGACTCGGGCCACATCCATGTGGGCAGCAACGTGCTGAAGCGCTTCAGCATCCGCATGTTCAGCCTCATCGTCTTCCGGGCCCAGGCGAGGGACTCGGGCCTCTACCTGTGCGGCACCAAGAAGGGCGATTTCTTCTACGGCTACGACGTGGACGTGCAGTCCACCAAGGGCATCGCGGTGGCGTTCGCGGACCGGGGGCAGCACGCGCAGGAGGACTACGCCAGGAAGGACTTCAGCCTCTTCACCACCTTCTGGGACTGGAGCAAGTGCGACCGCTGCGGCGTGCGGGGCGAGCAGCGGCGCATCGGGCTGTGCTACGTGCGCAGCGCCCGGCTGCACCCACGCTACCGCTCCGCGGTGCCCAAC